TATACTGTATGTTTCAATAAGTTTTGTAAAAAATCTTAATTCATTTTTCTTTATAGGTCATCTTCCTCCTGGGTCTGGTGGCGGTGGTTGCCGCAGACAAGCTTCCTACCTCCTATGGTCCACCTCCCCAGGTAGGCCTTTGGAAAACTATTTTTTTGAATACAGCGTTATGAGTACACCTGAATTTAATAGTTGCAGTAACACGAATTGATATATTTTATTTACGAAGATTATAAATAAGTTTTCTATTACGGGTATGTACTTATACTGTTTGACAATGGTGTACAGGTATCCAGGTACGCCTCATCTGAGGAGGAGTCTGATCCCCCAAAGTATGTCTACAACTGGAACGTGCAGGACAGCTACTCTGGCAATGACTTCGCCCACCAGGAGGACCGTGAAGACGACAACACCAAGGGGTCGTACACCGTGCAGCTTCCCGACGGTCGTCTGCAGACTGTTACATACTACGTGGACGGTGACTCAGGCTACGTGGCCGAGGTCAGCTACCAGGGTGAGGCTCAGTACCCCGAGTCTGAAGAGTCCAGGGAGTACGCCCCACCCAGGCCCCGGTACTCCGCCCCCCAGTCTGAGGAATCTGTGGAGGCTCCCGTGTACTCTCCACCCAGGCGATCATACGGTGCCCCTCAGTAACTCGTTCACGAAAGAGGACATACGACTATACATGTTTTAACACCATTGTTTCCTAAGACTATTTTCAGTCATGAAATTTTTGTAAATTATTCCAAATTATGTTTATCTCCAACTTCAAATATCTTTAAGAATTTCTCAGAATTTATCTCTTACTTTCTTCAGATGGAGATAATATTCTCTTCTTTCTTTAATCTGTATTGCACTTTCTCGAGTGAAATTTCTCTACTATTATATGTACCATTATCTTACTGTGAATATTTATTAAACTGAATAAATTATGAAGAATGAACATTGTATTTTCCAATTAAACCTAATTAATATGACACAGAACGTTAAAACAAACATGAATATATATTTCTCGACAGCCACAGTAATATAAAATATTTTTACAACGAATTTTGCCGATGGTGATGCGTGAGTTGAGTAGTAATTATGTCAACCCTTCTGGGGGAAATATATTGTTTTCTCTGTTTCTTTTCTCTTGTTACCATCATTGTGCGTCTAAGTGTAAACTAGCTTACACAAAAAGTATACAGTGTTTATACTTGGCTCTTTAATCACCATGACTTTACATAACTGTTTTTTTTTTGGTCGAGTCAAAAGATAAATGTCAAGGTCCCAGTTTATTTGTATAAGTTAGCTTAAAGTCAAATTCGCTAAAGATATACAAATACCATTAATCCTAAAGTTGAAATAATCAGATACAAACTTTTACCACAATTGACTAACTATTTAAGGGATATTATATCTCTCGTCCACCTCTTAAGGATACATACACGATGACTGGAGCGGTCTACACACCCCTGCTGATTCGGGATAAAACAACCCAGGTAGACTATGTGTAGCCCTTGATACATAGATAACAGTCGGGTACAGGACGAATCACAATGTTTATATGTAGCTCGTATGGTCAGTGTAACAGTTCCTTGTCCTTGTATATATTCAGTTTCAATGGTTAAAGGTAAAAAAGGTCACAGCTTAGAATAAAAACCCCGAGATTTGTCCATAATTTAGCTCAAGAACGCAAAGAGTTTCACTAGTGACACATCTTAACCACGACAGTCTCCTGGGCTGCTGTTTTACGGTCCAAAGCTCAAAGGACAAGTTAACATCCGACCCGTAATATAAATATGATTACAGAAACACATTAAAAACTGGATTTGATACAGTGTTTATACCTGGAGTCAAACTTTTATGACCACAGCAACTGTGGTTTTATGGTTAACAGGTTAGAGGTCAGTGGCGGCTTTGAAATAGGCACCACATATGAGTTGGCACCGTGCTTGAGCGCAGTCATGGCCATTATTATTATTATTATTAATCTCTAAGCATCAGTCTCCTTCACTCACACTCTATCTCTCACGGTGTTAACGTCTCAATAGTTATTTATACATGGAGTCTTGTATAATGTGCGCCCTTGCAGCCAATAAAAGTACGTGTTTAAGTTTTGTGAAATTTCCTCAGCACAAGAGTATAATTATAAAAGTTGAGTAACAAACCACAACCAAAGGAAAAATATACCCTCCAGTGTTCCTCCCGTCAGATATAAGTAAGAGGAGCGGCCAGGTAGTAACGTTAGTCTTAATCAGTACTACAACATGAACACAAAGGTAACTCTCCCTCTCTCTTGTAACTAATGTGGAAGAGTGTTATCTGCATGAGCCTCTTTTGCTCGTTTTTTTTCATAATATTTATAATGCACTATATAGCGAACTGAAAACTTGATCATAATTAACGTACATTACCTTGAGCATAAAAGTAATTCGGATTCATGCATCTTCGGAAGCATTAAACGAGGAAATCTTATGAATGGTGTATGGAACTTAATAATTTAGCCAGCGTTCTGAAGTTATCTAGGTACTGTTTCTACTGGGTGTGGTTGTGGTGGTGGCTGTCGCGGATGATATTCCCACTTTGTATGGTCCCCCTCCCCAGGTAGGTCCTAAGAGGGATATTTTCCGTATAAATGAATTTGCGTTCTGCCGAATAATTTATTGAGTATATCAGTATAAAAACTATTGCCTTTTCTTTGCAATGGATATAAATTAACATTGGATAATTAATAATTAACTATATGACAATGGTGTACAGGTATGGCTATGAATGGAACGTGCAGGACGGCTACTCTAGCAGCAACTTCGCCCACCAGGAGGACCGTGGGGACGACAACACCAAGGGGTCGTACACCGTGCAGCTTCCCGATGGTCGTCTGCAGACTGTGACTTACTATGTGGATGGTGACTCAGGCTACGTGGCCGAGGTCAGCTACCAGGGTGAAGCTCCGTACCCCGAGTCTGAAGAGTCCAGGGAGTAAGCCCCACCCAGGCCCCGGTACTCCGCACCCCAGTCTGAGGAGTCTGTGGAGGCTCCCGTGTACGCCTCACCTAGACGATCATACGGCTTCCCCCAGTAGCTCGTGCTCGATCCGCCTAAGAAGTCATTGAGCTACAACTCATAGTGCACATTCACTTAACTAATGTATCCTACCACCAATCTCAGTCATCTGTTTCTGAGAACTGTACTTTAAGTAACTTGATTCTTATCTCAGACTGTTTTGCTCTCACTTTCTCTTGAGACAATGTTTCTATCCTTAGATTGTATTATACTTTTTCAGCATATGTTTTTGTATTGTGATTATCATTTATTGTAAATAGTATTTCATATTTGTGCTTATTTAATAAACTGAATGCATTTTGAATTCTGAAATATATTTATCTTTAATCACTTTAAAATGAGTTGAAAAATATTGATGAACATAATATATATGAAACAACAATAGACAATGTTATTATCACTCAAGCTGATGGGGTTAATACCATACATAACTATAAAAGTATTTCAGATACATAACATATGCACTGACATACGGACTACCTAATACCTGGTTTCATATTCACCATAACATTAATTCAATAGTAAGTATTTTTTGTATCTGCAATAGTAGTAACAGTCAACGCAATTGAAACATTACCATCATTAACATTTCTAATATCAGTGTATCAGTATACTTATTACTACTATCACCAATATCACTCTAGCTACAGATTGATCTTGAATAATAACAGAAGGAAGAACACCAACCATCACTCTCCACCATGTAATCTTAAATCATAAAAAACCTAATCGTCAGTCACCCTTGCTCGTTTAGAGGGTTGACAGACTCTACCTTCTACACCGCCGCCTTCTACTTGTCTTCACTGGAATGCTGTTTGGATCTCACCTCCCTTTGCCCCACCCGTCTGCTCAGGGGTTGAAATATTCTCTAAAGGACTTCCCCGACCTTGCTCTTTATCCACTACCAAGTTTAGCACACACACACACACACACACCTGGAGACACTACTGACCACCAACAAAAACTGCTGCTGGTCATCCCCGGTGAAACAACACAAAGGGCGAAGGGGATTATCAGTGTCATCCTGGACTATGAAGGTTAACCCAAGTCCTCAAACACATTGTATTTACCGCCCACTACTCTCCAGTCATTACTTTATCTGTCACTCAACCCTCACTCTCAGACATTTTTTACTCAATATCTCTCCCACTATCAATACCGTTCAATGTTTTTACTTAAGTACTTCTACACATCCTCCTCCCAGGGCACATTTTAGTCTCCCTACAGTGGAACAAATTCTGACCGTCACTCAATCCAGGTTCACTAGTGTAGGAGGTTTGGAAAGGGATGAGAAGCAGTTCTTTGGAGATACTGTACACATCTTCCTCCTTCTCTCACACAATCACACCAAATCAATTGTGTGGAGGCCTGGTGGGCATATGAGGGTATTCTTTAACACTGTAAATGCAACCTCTTATTGTTACCTCTATATCACCCCGAGACCATCACCCTACATTTCAAGTTTAATAGAGCTCGAAGATAACTCATGGACGGACGAAATGAGATGCAAAACGGGCAGACTAACGGGGACGCAAAACGGGCAGACTAACGGGGACGCAAAACGGGCAGACTAACGGAGATGCAAAACGGGCAGACTAAAGGCGACATTTATTCAGTCTTATATGAACTTGGTGACGTATTTGAGTTATGGGGACACATATGTAACGATGACCACCCAGTTACCACAGTGAATTATATTATAGATTTTATAAGCTGTATGACCCCTTGTCCTTAGTGCTGTGGCTCAGGTGAAATCCCTTCGTAGAGATGCCATGTTCGAGGAAATTCGAGGCCATAGTGACATTACTGTAGTTACATTAATATTAATTTATGACTTGATTTTCTGAGTTATGTTGTACAATACCTTCCCCCTCATATTATTTTCAAGGTCGATATTTTAGGTTTTCCAATATTGCTTCGTTAAAAAAAACCCAGTTTGTGTTTATTATCTTCCGGAGCCTGACTCACAGTTTTAATTACCATGAATCATCAGAAAAACAAAGATAACATCCCCACAGTCTCCAAAATATCCGTATACTGTAGTTATATAGTATCATATGCTTCATCCTGTACACTGCAGAAAGCCTGAAAGCAAATGAAAGTGCCTTTTGAAATACTGTGTAAAGACCTCCAAGAGTAATAACACGGTACATAAAAATTTCGTAACAAACCACAGCCAAGTGAAAAACCTGTCCCACAAGGCTTCCCCCATTAGGTATAAATACGCGGAGCGGCCAAGTAGTGCTATCAGTTAACAACGCCGCTACTACACCATGAATACCAAGGTAACTCACCCTCTCTCTTCCTTTCATAACTTTAGTGAATCTTACTGATGACTTTTAAAGGAAGAATACACTGACGCAAGAATATTTTTCAACTTCTCCCATGAACACAAGTACTGTACCGTACATTCACATTAAGAAACGGTACATGGCATTATGAAGTTTGTTGGTGATTAATGGGTAAGGAATGCTCTAGATAGTGATACAAACTAACGTTAGTGATACATATCTTAGATTTTTCTTGTAATCAACTGTGGCTCTTATTCTAGGTACTTTTTCTGCTGGGTGTGGTGACTGTGGTTCTCGCAGACCGGCCTTCTAATTCCTACGGCCCACCTCCACAGGTATGTCTTAAGCTATTCTAATTATATACTATGTAATGATATAATTTCTACTAAAATATTTACCGAGGAAAATAATGCTAAGAGTGTTGTTGACCTTTGGCTATGACGAGTTGAAATTAATTGAGAAGTATTCATACGATTTTTTGACAATGGCGTACAGGTTCCCCGGTACGCCTCATCTGAGGAGTCTGAGCCCCCCAAGTATGTCTACAACTGGAACGTGCAGGATGGCTACTCTGGCAACGACTTCACTCACCAGGAGAACCGTGAAGACGACAACACTCAAGGGTCGTACACCGTGCAGCTTCCCGACGGTCGTCTCCAGACTGTGACTTACTACGTGAACGGTGACTCAGGCTACGTGGCCGAGGTCAAGTACGAGGGTGAGGCTCAGTACCCCGAGTCTGAAGAGTCCAGAGAGTATGCCCCACCCAGGCCCCGGTACTCCGCACCCCAGTCTGAGGAGTCTGTGGAGGCTCCCGTGTACGCCCCACCCAGGCGATCATACGGCTTCCCCCAGTAACTCACACCTAACAATGCCTAGCAGACCATACACTCCCCTGTATATTCTAGCTAATTCATCCTTCAACTTTCTTCTAATACCACAAATTGTTAAAATCTTTCTTTAGCTTAAAATCTTACACTTTATTCCCCAGTCCTGTTTATTTCTGCTTTCTATAAATCTCTTGTAATTATTTATTTATTAAACTGAATCACTCTGCAAATCACGTGAATTCTTTTCTTAATTTACCTTCATATTATCAAGCTGTATAATGTGAATTGGTTTGACAGACATCACTTAATGACGACTTATATCATCCCTTCGTTCTCCATGACAGGGGTCGGTTAGGTTAGGTTAGGTTTATAATAATATTGAGTATATCCACAAACGTTACGATGATGGTGGTTTAACCTGTAACCCTTTGAGGACGATGGCTTAACCTGTAACCCTTTGAGGACGATGGATTAACCTGTAACCCTTTGAGGACGATGGATTAACCTGTAATGCTTTGAGGACAATGGTTTAACCTGTAACCCTTTGAGGACGATGGCTTAACCTGTAACCCTTTGAGGACGATGGATTAACCTGTAACCCTTTGAGGACGATGGATTAACCTGTAATGCTTTGAGGACAATGGTTTAACCTGTAACCCTTTGAGGACGATGGCTTAACCTGTAACCCTTTGAGGACGATGGATTAACCTGTAAACCTTTGAGGACGATGGCTTAACCTGTAACCCTTTGAGGACGATGGATTAACCTGTAATGCTTTAAAGGACAATGGTTTAACTATAGCAGCAGCCTTTGGGGACGATGAAGCAACCTGTAACCCTTCGAGGACGATGGATTAACCTGTAACCGCCCCCGGGGACGATGGATTAACCTGTAACCCTTTGAGGACGATGGATTAACCTGTAATGCTTTAAGGACAATGGTTTAACCTGTAACCCTTTGATGCTGATGGTTGTCTGAGTAGAGTTGTCAGCTTATGGTCCCACATGAGGTAAAAAGAGAAAGGCGTTCACCAAGGCTTAAAGTGGTGACCTTCTCTTCCCGGTAAGTTATCATTATTTCCCCGGTACATGAGCAGTGATTGGTGAGAGAACCGTGTAGTTTTATTCTCATCTTATTTGCTTTTATGAGCCTTGATTGCCATTGGTGAAGCAGACGGGGTTAGATATGAGTGTTACTTTTACTTTCGTTTTATTTTGTGACTGATATGGCAACGATCACTAGGCCTCTGTGCTTGGTAACTTTGTGTTGCTTCATAATGGGGCTGACGGATAGAACTTTCTTCTACTTTCACGACGTTCATTGGTTAGATCGACGCCACTTTGTTTGTTTTAACGACGCTGATTGGTTAACTGATTTGGTTAAATATTCAGTACTATTGAATCACGTGAAGATTATTTACCCGAGCTTATTTCACCTGATGATTAACCGCCCTAGAAAAGTGGGGGAGAGAAACCATAAGAGGGAAGTTTAGAAAGCCTGTCAATTGCTTTGGAGATGTCGAGGACCACGACGGAAGTTTCCCCATAGTCCCTAAGAGAGGATGACCATAGATGTGTGCAGTAGGAGAGCAGATCACCAGTAGATCTCACCTGACGAAGGCCTTACTGTTGCCTTACTGTTGTGTATGATGACAGGGTACCAGAGCGGCCAAGGTGGTGACGTCACAACCACGCACCTCGACCTCACCCCAGAACACACACTTATCACACTCAAATAACAACGATCTATTTTCTAATAATGAATATTTTGTATCACTGTGAATAATTGCTCTTAATATTAGCCAC